GCTAATAATCCATTGAAATGCAGTAGCGAGTATTCTGAGAAGCTTTAATCAAATTGTAAAACATAGTAATCTCAGCAATCTCAACGTTCTCATCGGTCCGTGCGTGTAAATTTTGAGTTAAATATCAAATTGATAGATTAGAGCATGCAAACGTGCATCCAGATTAGAAAACATTATTTTAAATGTTGCAAGTATATTATATAAATATTGCAAGTACATTTTAAATGTTGCAAGTTCATTTTAAATATTGCACTGTTCCCTCAATTTAGGGAGCTTGGACTTTCTTTTCTTACGTCCGGGTGAAAAACAGCGAAGAAAGTATCAATATCAAAAGGAGAATGAAAAATAATAATAATATATAAAATAAAATATGCGAGAGATCGCATACACGATTTGCAAATTGCAAAAGCGACAACATCGCGAAATAAAAATACATAATTTAAAAGAAGTTAAATTTTCGCCGATGCTCTTCTATGGACAAATTGTCCATTTTAATGCGTATTCTAAGCGCGAATTAGGGAGGAATGACAATATTAAATGGCGCCTTTGAAGTGCTCGGACCGTCGTGAGCATGCCTCTCGCGTTTTCGTCAAAACCCGCTGACATTTCTTGTATATATCTTAGTAATTTTACTATATTTTGATTTGATTTCTTGTACCATTTCAAGAGAAAACTTCAGGGAAACATGCATGTCTCAAAATGTTGCGCTGAAATAACTGAATTCCCCGTAATCGCTAATAAACTTGAATGTCCCACGAGAGGGGACATCCGAGTGATATGCTAGAATTACGATGTCCCACGAGAGGGGACAGCGGAGTGCAAAGGGTTAACACTATGCCGTCCGGTGGCACCACGCTGGTGCCATACAAAAACTATCTGTTGTATGCCGGTGGTACCACTTTGGTGCCATTTTAAGAAACTGAAATAACATTTGAACTATATTTCTTGGGTGTTAAAAGGCAACAAACTAACTATAGCATTGTGCTCATTTAACTAAGAATTAAGTACGAAAACTTCTTGGATGACTTAGCTTAATTTTAGGAATTTATATGACCGCCATCTCCGAAATTTTTTTTGAATCTAAAATTTCTAAGCTATTATGCCGACGTGAAACAAAAGAATCGTATCTAAGATCTGCGAACGGCGTAGTGTTAAGATTTTCCGCTATTTTGTTTGAAATCATTGTACACTTCAGGTTGGAACTAATGATCTCAATTTAATCTTCTTTTTTTTTGTCTGTATTTTTGAATTGCGGCGGGTAATGGGTTAACAATAGATTTACGGAGCATAAAAGCTGAAGAAACTATTCTAAAACTAAAGAATCATTTCACATTATATGGCGACCATAACAGAGTAAACAGGGTTTTTTCTTTTTTTAAATGTTAACATCTCCTGAGAATAGTTGGATTTCTTTTATACCCTAGAATGCTTTGAACGTGTTGATTGCGCCGTTTTTTTCGGCTCCTATTGTCAACAGGTAACTTGTAATCTATTGTTTGTTATCCGATGGGATTTCTTCTTGTGGATCAATAAATATGAAATCATTAAATATTAAATTTTAACGTTCCATTTAGACATTCCAGATATCCAATACTTGCGGATCCCAGTTTATAAAAAAATCTCTCGCTTTATCGGATCTAATAAATAACTGAAATAACCAGAGTATGAAAGGCAACGCTCATTAGAGTCTAAATAAAAAAATTAATAAATAATTTGTGTTTGGCATTTCGGACATCCTTCGCGAGAAGAGTCGGTCAGAGTCGTCTGATCAAGATCTACCGATTCTACTTCGTCTGAATGCAGTAAATTTTTCCTAATTGACACTCAGCTTGGAAACGAAACTGGACAATTTGAGAAGAGGAGGCACTTATTATTCGATCCTTGCCTGCTTGTTTTTATAGTTGTTGACAATCGGTAACTATAAAAACGAGTCGCAAGTCTCAAATACTGTAATTTCTCCCTAATTCTCTCGAGCTTTTAGATTACGCATTAAAATGGACAATTTGTCCATAGAAGTGCATCGATGAAAATTTAACTTCTTTTAAATTGTGTATTTTTATTTCGCGATGTTGTCGCTTTTGCAATTTGCAAATCGTGTATGCGATCGCTCACATATTTTATTTTTTACATATTATTATTATTTTTTTCATTCTCCTTTTGATTTTGATACTTTCTTCGCTGTTTTTCACTTGGACGTAAGAAAAGAAAGTCCAAGCTCCCTAAATTGAGGGAACAGTGCAATATTTAAAATGTACTTGCAATATTCATAATATACTTGCAACATTTAAAATAATGTTTTCTAATCTCGATGCACGTTTGCATGCTCTCATCTATCAATTTGATATTTAACTCAAAATTTACACGCACGGACCGATGAGAACGTTGAGATTGCTGAGATTACTGTGTTTTACAATTTGATTAAAGCTTCTCAGAATACTCGCTACTGCATTTCAATGGATTATTAGCGTTTTATCTCTCACTTTATCTTACGATGGATTATTA